ATGTGAGTGAGACAGAGATTAAAACTATTGTTAATAAATGCAAAAATAAAACATCTACTGATTGTTATGACATAGATATGACACTAATTAAAAAAGTAATAAATAGTATTTCAAAACCTCTAACGTACATATGCAATGAATCATTTCAGACTGGAATATTTCCAAATAAAATGAAAATTGCAAAAGTAATACCAATGTATAAAAATGGAAACAAGCACATCTTCACAGACTATAAACCTGTCTCTCTGCTACCTCAATTTTCAACAATTTTAGAGAAATTATTTAACGATAGATTAGAAATATTTATAGATAAATATGATATAATAAATGAAAGTCAGTATGGTTTTAGAGCAAAGAGGTCAACATCAATGGCCATAATTGAAGCTGTGGAGGAAATCACAAACACCCTAGACAGAAAAAAATATGCAGTTGGAATATTTATTGATTTAAGGAAAGCCTTTGATACACTCAATCATTCAATCTTACTCAATAAACTGGAAAGATATGGCATTAGGGGAGTGGCTTTGAACTGGATCAAAAGTTATTTAACTGAAAGACAACAGTTTGTGAAGTTGGGCGGGTTTACGTCACAGTGTCTGGGCATTGCTTGAGGGGTCCCACAAGGATCAGTATTGGGTCCTAAGTTATTTAATTTATATATAAATTACATATTCCATGTATCTAAATTATTGAAACTGATATTATTTGCTGATGATACTAATATATTCTATTCTAGTGATAATTATAATACACTTATAAATATAGTAAATAAAGAATTAGTAAAACTAAAAACATGGATGGATGTTAATAAATTATCTCTGAATTTAAATAAAACTAAAGTAATGATGTTTGGCAATTATAAAGAAAACTCAGAAGTATTAATAAATATAGATGGTGTTGCAATAGAAAAAGTGTCAGAAATTAAATTCTTAGGGATAACTATTGACAGTAAATTAAGCTGGAAAACACACATCAGATACATACAAGGTAAATTATCCAAAAGTATCTATATAATTAATAAAGTTAAATATGTCCTGGAATATAATGCATTATATATATTGTATTGTTCATTAGTTTTGCCCTACTTATTGTATAGAAGTTTGGGGCAATAACTATAAAAGTTCACTACATCCCCTCTTCATACTTCAAAAACGTGCAGTTAGAATCATACATAAGGTGGGATATTTTGATCACACAAATATATTATTTCTGCAATCCAGACTATTAAAACTTTTTGATTTAGTTGATTTTTATACTGCACAACTCTTGTATAAAGCCAACAAAAATAAACTACCGGGCAATATTCAAAAGTTCTTTACAGGAAGAGAGGGGGGCTATAATCTGAGGGGATGTGGGAACATCTGAAATAAAAAAGTAAGCTATTGATACTATAAATGGTGATATAATTACAACAGAACGGAATACGATTACATAGCTGAGCAAATAATAATAATGATAATGACAGTTATTATAAAACTGTGATTTAACAATATAATAGGATATGGTTATATTTTATATATTTCATGATTATTATAAATACTGGGACATATTAGAATGTTTATGATAATGAGGATTATTATAATGTATTATTGTGATTATTGAGACGGACATATTGTATTTGGGTATTTGTATATAACTATTATAATATCACATAAATTATTAGTAACAGACAATGGCAGCAACCGTATGGTGTAATATATGGGAATTAATTGGGGGTGGGAGCAAATAAGTTCTACTTCTTTCCACTCCCTTTCGTCTCCATTCTGTCACCGATGGAGTTTTGGTTCCTTGCCGCTGTTGAAATACATAATTTGTATTTCAGTTTTATTTTTATTTATTTTACTACATCAAGTTAACGTATGAAAATCTTAATTTTCCTTTTTGCAACTAAATAAGAATTTCTTGAAAATTGACAAAATATATATTTTTTATATTTTATTATTATTATATTTTATTTTATATTTACATTAATATTTTATTAATGTTTTATGAATATTTTATTATCACAGTTAATTTGTATGAGCCTCAGTAATTAGATCTAAATCATGAAGGCCTGTTTTGCTCACATTGATCAGGTGTTTTGTATCTGTTTCTGTATGTCTATGAAGCATGTGTTTGGGTGAACACCTGTCCTCGTCTCTTTTGTAACCCTGTCACTAAGTTACAGTGTGAGTGTGTGTGAGTGTTACACAGATGCAGCCGCTGACGGGTTAACTGTGTCTCTGTCACTGCATTAATTTTTAAAAACTGTGGGCATCTATATGTCAGCTCCTCTTACTGTCAGCAGGATATCGAGCGGCCAGGGTTGAAGTCTCAGCGCTAGATGATAGTTACAGAGGAACAATAAATGGTGAGAGGACGACACGCGCTTTCATTCCCCGAGTCACAGACGCTATTAGCTGAAATATTCAGTTTAAATAAGAGTTCATGCATTTTTGTCATCATTAACTCACTCAAATACAGCGCAGAAGTCATATAGACTACTTTAAGGGTGCTTGAATGGAATGCCTGAATCCCATCTGATTTTATTTGAGAAATTCCTTTAAAAGAATATGAATATTCTGTCATTTACTCACCCTGAAGTTGTTTCAAACCTGTATGAGTTTCTTCTTCTGTTGAACACAAAAGAAGATGTTTTAAAGAATGCTGCTAACCAAACTGTTGACGGTAGCCATTGACTTATAGTATTTTTTTTCTGCTGTAAAAAATGACCGTGAATTTAACGGTAAAAGACTGTAAAAATGCTACAGTAAAAACCTGTTAAATGGTTAACAGTAAATTCCCCTACTATATACGGTGAAAAACTGTATTGGACATTACATCCGTAAATTTTACGGATTTTTTTTACAGTGATATACTATGGAAGTCAATGGCTACCGTCAACTGTTTGATCAGCAGAAGAAAGAAACACAGGTTTGGAACAACTTCAGGGTGAGTAAATGATGACAGAATTCTCATTTTTGGGTGAACTATCCCTTTGAGAGCTAGATTTTGTTACCAGCTAACAGAGAATGTTCTCAGAACGTTCTGGCAAGATTTTTTCAAAGTTATGAACAAACATTCTTTAATATGATCTTCATTCAAAGTTATCTGGTCTTTAATAATGTTCTAAAAAAAGGTATTTATCATATCATTCATGGGACGTTTTTCACGCCGTATGTTCGTCTACTGTTTTTTTTAAATGTTACCACTTGTTTCAGTGGAACATTCAAATGTAACGTTCCCATAATATGTGCAAAATGATCACATGGAATGTTCTTATAAGAAAAACTATTTTTAAAAATACTGGACATTTTGAACATTCTAAAATAATGTTTCACTGGGAAAGTTAGCTAAGTGTTCTTAGAACATATTTTTGTTGGCTGGGAGTCAGTCTAGTGTCTGCAGTAAACTGGATGCTGATTAAAAGGTCATGTGTAGGTTATTAAATATCAGCCGTCTCACCATGAACATATTCACCATAAACGTCCTCCCTTGAAGTAATGAAACAGCCTGTTTTTCTCCAGATGATGTGATCCCAGCTAACAAAAATATGTTCTAAGAACATTGTGCTAACGTTCAGGTTAACATTTTGAACGTTGATATCTCTGCATTTGCATATATTAAGAATACTTAGTTATGCAGTTATATGTCTTAATAAAGGATATCATGCATGTCTCTTCAGGTTTAAATAATAATTTCTAAGCCGCAATATTCATGCAACCATTTTTGTCTCTGATCTAAGATTCTAGGCTCATTTGCATATCATAAGCTGATTAAAAGGCTAAATAAATAAAACATTATTATAAGTAGATAAAAAAATAGGTGTACACTGACGTCATCTCTCCTGATCTTTAATATCATTTTCTTCTGTTGCATGGTGTTTTTTTGCCGTCTGTTTGGTGCGAGGCTCTTTCCTCAGAGCATTTATAATACTTAAAGATGCTTCTAAACTCAACATTTCTTTCTGTTGCCTGTTTAGTTTTTTTTCCAGTTTCACGCCTCTAATAAAGAGAGCAACAGTAGATGAGTGTGAGAAATCGCTGCGGCTCAATGAGGTCAAGTCAGAGGTCTTTAGGTTTTATAGAAACACTACCAAAACCTTCTAATAAACTGCTATTTCAAAATATCAAGGCTTATTAATATTCAGTTTAATACTGCACTTTCTGCCATGTATTTTTAGTTTTTCTAAGTGAAATCAGTGCAATTTAGTGCAAATCAACCTTACTTTCTAAGCTGAGTAGTTTTTGCTCCAGGTTTCTGGCATTCCAGTCTTGTTTCTTCTAAGCGCACAGAACAATGACTCTATTTATAATCTTACAAATTTGACAGTGCCCTAACACTTTGCCTACCAAGAAGAAGTGTTATCAGATTGTCATAAAATTAGTTTCAACAAAATGTTTCCAAGTTTGTTTTGTCAGACATAGATAGATAGATAGATATTTTAGTTTTAAAATATTTTATGGCAAGTGCTTTGGCGGGAACCTCCACCCCAGCCCGCTCTGGAACAATGGCATGCCCCCCTAAACCATTTCCGGCAGCCCCTCCCTTTGCGCTCGCTGTTGTCCTAGTGGCATATTTCCAAATCTTACTATGGCCAAGGCGGAGCTCATGAATATTAATTAGCTAACGTGCAAGACGTTTGCGTGCCAACGTCCCATGAGAATAGCGCTAGAGCTCGAGTATCGCGGTACGAAATTAATATTCATGAGCCCCGCCTTCGCCGTATTAGGATTAGTAAAAGCGCGACCTGTTTTACGTAGTGACGCCAGATGTATATGAGCGCACGCGGCGGGATCTCTTTCCCTTTTAGCGCCATCAGAGCGGGAGTCTCGCGCTGTTCACTGCGCAGCAGGACCGCCTCAGACAGACCTCTGCACATCGGGCTCTCGGTAAGAGACCATACCGCCGAGAGACCGTTTATAAACCTCTTTTTGTTCATTCTAGAAGATAAATTAGTACCTGAGTCGAGATTTAACACGAATCGAGATGTTTACGTTAGCTCGCGAGCTAAGCGCTCAGTCCGTCAGTCAGCAGCCATTGAGACAGACTCCTCCATGATGGAGATGAAAATGGCTGTTCGTCTTTTAAATATCGAATAAATTCAGGTTTAGCCGTTAAACGGACAAACCAAACTGGGGTTTTAATGTTTAAAGGTTTGTTTGTTCGGTTACAGTAGTTGGAAATGTTGTCTTGAGCGTATTTTCTCATGTTGGGAGGAAGAGGATGATGATGATGATAGTTGGTCTGATCTGGCGGGTAAGTTTTTTTTTGGGGGGGGGGGGGGTCTGATCACATTGTCGGAAAAATTAAAAAATCCGGTTTATTTAACTAAATTATTTTTAATGCGAATTGGATGTGGAGATGTAAATATGGCACATGTTCGAGCATGATTAGGATGAAATGATCTGATGTCTGTAGTTAACGTTACCCATGCTAGTTTAAATTCTGACGTTTTTCTAATAAGCTTCAATCTGTAGCGCTTTGGTAAGTTAGTTACCAGTCTTCTCTAGTTGAGATGGGTTGGTTATAAGGATGCTGTGCTGCTAGCAGCTTTAGCCGGTGGATCTGTGGAGGAAACACGTGGTGATGTGGCCTGGTGGGAATTGACCAATCAAAATCCAAGACCATTAACCCAGTTTAAGAGTTAAACAACTGTTTTAGATAGTAGCTTCAGGAATGCCTGGACAGAGTTGGTTAGTTTGTTTAATTCTTCACATCTGTATGAAATGTGGCTGGTGGTGGGTTGCCAGAGGCTCTTAATGAATAGAAGAATGCTGTGTAATTGAAGTTAGTCAATATTACCATATTTCATATTCTATTTATGTTATTGTATGTTTCTGACTGCCTTATTTTTGTGAGTCTTGTTACTATAGTTAAGTTTTTTTTTTTTTAAGATGGGGTGATTTTTGCATTCGAGTTTGAGCAATATTAATTATAATTATAATTTATTAATAAAATTGTGTAAAATAGTTATGTAAATAATCAACACAAAATCTATGTTATCTATCTATTAAAAGAAAATTATATAAATTAATTTATATCTGATAACACATAATAATTATTATTATTTATGATTAGTAATACATATTTTATTAGTAACTTTAGGAGATTTTTTTCCCCTTCCAGTCATTTCTGTGTTGGAAAGACATAGTTAAAACATTGTGTTTTATCACAGATATAATATTTTCCCCAGGGCTGAAATTGAGAATGACTGGTTAAGTAGAAAAATGTAAATATCTGAAAAATATCAGTCAAACAGATTTTATGTCAATCTCTAGTTTGGTTGAATGCATTTTATTTCCTCCTGCTTCCTTTTAAGATGGGCTTCTTACGGTCCTGAAAAACCTGTGAAGTTGTGGTTTTTAGGTGTGGGAAAAGTCATGCACATCTAGTCTACATTGTAGACCTGAAATTGCTATTGAGTGCAATCTAAGTCACGACTGGCTGGCATGAATCATGGCGGAGTCTTGGAACTGTGTTGGTCATAAGGTTTGGGAAGCCTAAAGAGGTTTTAACAAGTGCGTTGAACCTTTGCTCCCAAGGCGGCTAGATTTTGTAAGGTTTAAAGGCTTGCCGTCAGCTTTCAGTGCTGAAGAATGGTTATCAGAGTCTGGAGGAAATGTACCAGGAACTTTGTCCCGGTATTGTGACGTCTTGTTGTGAAATAAGGTGATCCATTGCTGCCATGGTTTGGGAAACTCTTATGTGCCTGTATTGACAGGTTTCAGTTGTCTGATCTTGACGCAGACAGAAAGAGGAAGAGATTAATCTTCAAATCTGTCAAGAATGGATGCTGCCAGGTTGGTGTCAGGTCTTCATGTTGTTGATCTTCTACAGGCGAAGAGCAGAGTAGGCTGAGAACATTCTGTCTGCATCAATCAGCTCGTGAATGAATGAAGTTGCTCGCTCTTGCCGCTGGAGGTCTGGATGTAGGTGTCTGAGCCCGTGTTTGATCCGACTGTGTGTTGGAGTTGGCTCATATGCAGGTCGGGCCCTGACAAATGGATCCAGTCAGATTCAGAGCTGAAGATAGTGGTTCACACCTTTGTTTATAGCTGATCTATCCCATAAACCCCCAGGGGTTGAATCTCTACCACTGAAGTTTTCTATCACGAGGATGGCAGCGTGCATGCGTTTCAATATATTTGCACCACCATTGGACATTTTGACACATCTGGATGCTTCCGTTATGCATCTAAATAGATAAACTTGGCTGCCTGAAGCCCCGTTCACACTGCCAGCGACAAAGCGACATGCTCCCATTCATTTTCAATGGAGAGCTGGCGACACGAGCGACAGAATGTGGGCATGTCAAGCGATGCGAGTCAAGCAACAAAAGTTAAGAATTGTTTAACTTTATGCAAATGAACAGCGAATTTCGCGAAGCTACAACCAATAGGAGTGAAGAATCTGTCAGTGGCGCTCACATGTCACTGTCTCGAGTGCAGGCAAGACAGGACAGATTTCCTGATGCGTAGAAAAGAAACTGTTGGCTGTCTAAGTGAGTTTGATTCATGCATTGATGGTTCGGGTTGTTAATTACATGATGCAGTGAGCAGTTTAGCACCGGTTAATGATTTAATGCACGAGCACTGCTGTAGTTTATATAACAACACTCTCCAACAGCAGAATATGGTAGTTTTATTTCTTTTAATTCTTAATTCCTAGTCATAATAGAATGATTTCTTAGTTTTACTGGCAATATACAGTTTGTGATTGCATTTTATATGTCCAGACGTGCAGTCTACCAATAACATTAGAGCGACAGCAGTAGGAACGCCCACAAGCGTCTTCACAGCACAGAGTCTAGCGACACACAACGAAAAAGTCGCTGGCAGTGTGAACGGGGCTTGAGTCATCCTAATACGGTCACCTGACCGACAAGGCCATCAACGACCGAATTTAGCTTGAGGCTGTTGAACATAATGGACAGCATTAACATTTTCCTTTGTTTTTTCCCTCTAGGAAACAAAACGGTGAAACAACATGGCAGATCTTGACAAGTAAGTGCTTGTTTGCCTATTAAAGAACTTTTATTTCTCACTCTGTCATCTCATTTCCCAGTTTGACAGCTTATTGTATTGACAGCCCTTCACATTCCCAGCTTAAATCCCTTTATGCCTGTTGTCTGTGTGGGAAATGGTGCATAAACACCCTTCTTGGCTGATTTTTGATTAGCCCTTACATGACCAGGGAGCGCATCTAAACACCCCATCCAGTCCTAACTACGGATGCACCGAATGTTCGGCAACCGAAATAATTTGGGCCGATAATAAGGCAGAATAAGCGAAAAAAAGACCAAATAAATTGTACCGAGCAAAGACGTGACGCGATCAAATAGAGGCGCACGCTAATGCAGCAAACATGACGGCAGTGTGGAAACATTTAAAGCTGTCTGAGAAAGATGCAAAAATCATTACAAGCACCGACAGCGAGAGACTGTTTAGTAATTCGGCCTTCTGACCAGTGTTTCATTTTGTTCGGCTTCGGCCAAGAATTTTCATTTTGGTGCATACCTAGTCCTAACCTCTTTCCTGCCTGTTGGAGACTGTCTAGGGCCAGCAACACATCGTCTGCATGCTTTCAAGCTTTGTGTGGTACTCCAAGCGTCTATGCTATGCCAAACACGTGTTTGCAACTCAACAAACTGGGGTTCACTCACTTGACACTTGTGACACGAGCAATACACCTGTTGCTCACCACAGGAACTTCCTGTGTGCCGTATATGTGGTGCTATTTCACACGCACCTGCATTTTTATTTCAGCCAAGATATAACAATTGGATATGCTCAGTGCTTCAGATCCTGCTTAAATTTTAATGCTGAAGATAAAGGTTTAAATGCATGATGATAAACATACTCTAAGAGAAAATTTTCTATGCCGAGCTCTTATCTTCAAGTAGGAAATGCTGATTGCTCATGATATGACCTCTTAGTCACTTTAGCTCTCTCAGGTCTCTTAGTCACATTAACATTGATAGAACAGAAACGTAAGACCCACAAAGCTAGTTGGGTAAATGTTTAATCCCTGATTGTGTGTTTTTACAGTAAAGACCAGACTGAAATGGACCCAGCAGATATGGAGGATGTTGAAGAGGTGGAGGAAGAGGAAACTGGGGAAGACAACAGTAAAGGTATGACCTTTGACTATTTCATGCATTTTTCCCCCCTTTTCATTTCCTGTGTGAACAAGAGGTTGACCAGTAGTTGGTTCTGCTGATACTAAAATCGGAAAATATGGCCGACAACTAGCAAATCGCCGTAATATGAATGAAAACCTTCCACTTAATGTAAAATAGTGCTGAACTTTATTACAAAATTAACAGTAATGACTTAACCATGAGAATATTTTGTAGTTAAAATAAATTAAAATACAAAAATTAGCTAAGCTTCAACACTATTTATACTTTTTTTAAATTTTTTTTTATTAAATGTTTAAATGTACAAGAAATGGTAAGGGAAAAATGGGACAAAATCAACTCCCCGTCTCTTATTAAGAATGTCTACTGTGCTCACGTTCTTGATGTGTATTTTAGCTAGCTTGTTTCTTTTGCACATAACTACTTCAGAATCAGAAGCAGAAGAGCTTTATTACCAAGTATGTTTACACACACAAGGAATTTGACTTGACGACAGGAGCTTCCAGTGTAGAAGAATGTACAAACATAGTGCAGACATACATGATAGTGCAGACATACATAGGAATAACACAGTAGGGATGTAATATAACATTAATATAATAAAAAAAGAAAAATTAGAAAAATGTAATAATGTACTATATACAGAAATAGAAGTATAGGAAAAAATGAATTGTTTAGATAAATGTACAGATATGTTTATTAGTGTGCAGATATGTTATTTACAAAGTGTGCAGTTTAATATAAATGGACGATGTATAATTATGAAAGATTAATTGTTCAGGCTGAATATAGCCTGTGGGAAAAAACTGTTCTTGTGCCTGGCTGTTCTGGTGGTCAGTGCTCTGTAGCGCCGACCAGAAGGCAACAGTTCGAAGATTGAGTGGGCTGGGTGTGAGGGGTCCAAGGTGATTTTTTTAGCCCTTTTCCTCACTCTGGAGATGTAAAGATCTTGGAGGCTGGGCAGAGGGGCACCAATAATCCTCTCAGCAGTCCTGACTATGTCCAACAAAACGTCCGAATAATCAAAAACCGGAAGAATGTCTGGGATGTGCTGCTTAATGTTAAGGAGTTCGTCTCTGGTAAAACTTATAGAAGAAGAATGACAAAACACAGAACAAACAAACAAAAACAATAGAAGAATCGTGGAGCTCAGCGTCCTTGCTGCCATTTGCGGTGCAATGCTGGTATCGAATCGTCCTTGCTGCCATTTGCGGCGCCATGCTGGTATTCATAGAGATTATTTGTAGGAACACAGAAACATTTGGAAAACTATAAAACAAAGTATCCTTCATTGGCGGTGCATTGCGTATCGCTGAGTAATGAAAAACTATTGCTGTTGGTTTTTACGATAAGTGACTATTTGTGCTGATTAATTGGCAATAATGACCTCTTGTGTAAACCACCAATTATTGCTCCTATTCGAGAGAACAGGTTGATCAGTCAACTTTTGCTATTTGCATTGCAAATCATCACAACCAGACCAGGTTTGTGTCATAAGTTGCAGTGACTTCTGATACTTGAAACTATACAGCTTAATTGAAAACATTGATAAAACCCGCAGTGTTTGATCACCTAATATGTCAAATGCCAAGTAGGTACACATGGAGCAACAGCTCGAATGTAAATTTCTTTCAGGAAGTTTCTAGAGACGATCCGATTGGCTAAAATGAATCAGATTTCCCATCACTCCCTCCATAGTGTTTTTATCGTCTAGAGCAGGGATCCTCAAATCTGGCCCACGAGATCCTCTTTCCTGCAGAGATTAGCTCTAACCCTAATAAAACACACCTGAGCATGCTAATCAGTGTCTTCAGGATCATTAGAAAATCACAGGTAGGTGAGTTTGATCAGGCTTGGAACTAAACTCTGCAGTGCATTGGTCCTCCAGGGCAAGATTTGAGAAACCCTGGTCTAGAGTCTCTTTGCTCTGGTTTTCTTTGCTAGGCCGCTGTGGAGGAAAAGTAAATGCTGTCTGTCATTATTGCTGACACACGCTGACAGTCATTAGGAAAAGGCCATGCACACGTTTGCACTGGCATTTTTCGTGTTGGGTAACATGATATCAGTCCGTAACCTCAGTGACCTTAGCTGTGTTTAGCAATTGGACCGAACCATTGCAAAACCATGAGTATTAGAGGGTTTGATACTAAATAATACATGCATTGGCTGTGCTCACTCATTAAAGATAGCTTCAGTCCCGCTGACCTTGTCTCTGTTTGCTGCTGTTTATTTTTGGGATGAAAAGAGCATCTTTTTTTTTTTTGACCCTTGGTGAAAGTGCCCTAGATCTGAGAGATGTATTACAGGGTTGTGGAAGTTTTTTTTTTTAAATAGATTTAATACTACTTTATAATTTTTATTATTATTAGTTTATTTTTGATTTCTTTGGATTATTACTTTTTTTACCTCATTTTCTTTTTCTTTTTTGTTGTTACATTGGATATTTATTTTTCAAATACACTTTATTTTAAGGTGTCCTTCTTACAGTGTTTTTTTACATTAAAAAGTACTGAGTAATATTAATTAACTGCATGTACTTACTATATGGTTAGGGTTACTTGCATGTAATCATGCATAATTTATTATTATAATAGTAAGTACATGTAACATGTGTAACAAGGACACCTTAAAGTGTTACCTATTTTTCTTTTAATTTTGTATGCGAGTTGTTAATATTGTATGTAAACATGATTCAATTTCAATTTAAGGTATACTTTACTGGCATGATTAAGTTATTAATTGGGTAATAAAAATGTCAGTCTCCGCCCTTTGTTATTCTTTGGTGCTTCTGTGATGCTGAGTGTGATTTGTAATGGCTTCCTGCTGTGAGCGTCAGTTGATGGTTGTTCGCTCTGATTTTAGCACATCAGCTGACGATGCAGATGATGCAGAACCCTCAGATTCTTGCGGCGCTGCAGGAGAGGTTGGATGGGCTTGTGGGATCTCCCTCAGGGTACATGGAGAGGTACGTGCCCACACAGAGCACAACTTCAAATGGCTCCCTTGTTTCCCATTGGCTGCATCTAATTTCCCTACTTTGCCAACACCGACTGAATTAAATGTTTCTTATTTTGGCCCGATCCTGTTCCCTGATTCCTTTCTGGAAGGTGCCAACCAAATGTCAAGCATCTCTTTTTACTCATCCATACAAAACGATGATCCTGAGTCATTCATGAATCATCAGCAGTGTGTCATTTGCACCGTGTGACGTTGTTTGTGGTGTCTGCGCAGCTTACCAAAGGTGGTGAAGAGACGTGTCAATGCCCTTAAGAACCTCCAGGTCAAATGCGCTCACATCGAAGCAAAGTTCTACGAAGAAGTGCACGAACTGGAGCGAAAATACGCTGCTTTGTATCAGCCCCTCTTCGACAAGGTGAGATTTAAAAACCGATGCATTTCTGTTGCCCATCTTTCCTCCAAAATGGAAAAACTGTGGGTTTGTTCTTGGAAGAGGTGTGGTTTAAGATGTTGTGTGCCAGAAGGCGGGTGGTACAGTACGTTAAAATGGTTACATTGACCCGCTGCTTCAGCGTTTCTAACTGCAGCAAACACCAAGTGGTCAATCAAGGACGCTAGAGTCAAACAGCAGCCAGAGAGATGTCTTACAGAAAATAAAACCTGAGCTGTAGCTGTTTATCCTCTCTTGTAGCTCTCGCTCACGCTCCCAGTGGAATAGTGACGTCCGAGAGGCTCAATTAATAGTTGGGCTCCTTCAAAATAAAACTTAAAAACAAGTTTACTGGCTTTAAGTCTTACAGTACAAGTGTATTTTTGTGTCCGCATAAAGTCTAGTTCATGTGGCGGTTTATTCTGGCCAAGAACCAAGTAAGTGTGTATATATATGTATATATGTGTATATATATGTCTATATATATGTCTATATATGTATGTATATATGTGTGTGTGTATATATGTATATACACACACACACACACACTTGGTTCTTGGCCAGAATAAACCGCCACATTAACTATATATATATATATATATATATATATATATATATATATATATATATAGTTATATTGGCTAAGTGGCTT